ATGGTTGGTGTTCTTTTTTCTTCATGTTTTGACTCATCGAATATCTTCTGTTGTTGATGATGTCAATTAAATATACAAGAAGAGCATCAATCCAAACAAAAACTTATCGATTTGGCCATTGTTGGTTTAGTACTCTTATAAGTTTTTCATTGAAGAAACCTTCATTCTGAAGGTGCTGAATATTTACAGTGTTGGAAACTCCATTGAAGAAGCCTTCATTTCATTAATCCATAAACATCCATATTTGTCATTTTTTATTTTTATATAATTTATTTGATGTTGCAGCTAACAATGCATCATTTTTCAATTTTAACCTACATGTCATCTTTCCTATGCAAAAAGGTATATTTCTTTTATTACATACATGTCGTTTTACCATCCATCTGTCTCACAGTAAAAAATGATTAAAACTAAAGAGTCTAGATCATCGGTCATGTGTAATAGAGAGACCACAAATTTATTTTGTGATCTTTTTCTGAGGGAGGTCAAGTTGAGAAATAGACCTATTACCTATTTTAATAAGGAAGGTTGGCAGATCTCACGAGTAAATTCAAGAAAATAACCGTAAGGGATTACGATCGGATGAAACTCAAAAACAAGTGGAATCAATTAAAAAAGGACTGAAAACTTTGGAAAGAGTTTGAAAGATGATCAACTGGATTGGGATGGGATCCACTAAAGCGGACAATTGATGCATTTGAGGAATGATAGACGGAAAAAGTTAGAGGTAAGTACATGTTTATTTCCATATATATTCACCTTGAAATTATTTTACTATTGAATTCATTTTTTATGTTGCTACAGGCAGTGTCAGCAGCAAAAAAGTTCAAAATAACTGGCATTGAACCAGTTTTGGGGGAGAAGTTGGATTGTATGTTCACTGGCGTTGTAGCAACATGAGCTCATGATTTCACCCCAAATGAGCAAGGCTTCGCCAGCTTAGCACAGGATATGGAAACCGAGCATGTAGCTGACTCGGGAGAATGTCTCAGCCAAATCCACACAGATGTTCAATTCACTGGCATGACAAAACGTCCCCGACCTGAAAAAAAGAAAAAATGCTTCGCATTTATTAAAGGTACTATTTAGACATTACTTGAAACCTGTAAAATAAGGTCCGCGCCAACGAAGGACAACACAATTCGGAGTGCGTTCAAATCCTTAACACATATCCTGGTATTAAGGAAGACGAAGCTATGTATGTAAACTACGTGAAGTTGCGAGAGAACTCAACTCGCATACAGTTCTTTGCAACTTTGGACCCAGAATTCCGACTGGCCTACTTGCGATCTTTCATTAACAATTGACTACTCTTTACTTTATCTTTATTTCTACTGTCATATTTTTGTAATATTTATGTGATGGACTCTTTTTAATTTTATTTCTATAGGCGCACCTTTGTTTAGCTTTGATCGTATTATGTACTTTATTATTTCAATCATGAATATGTCGTATATGTATCGTTGCAATTGTCACATATTATTTATTATGTTGTTTAAAAATCTATCATTTTACAGATTTTATATGGATGAAGAACAAGTTAATCATAACTGCATTGTTGCTCTCATTCTTACCTTGCTATACCATTACTATCATGCATATGTTGATTGAAACCCATGTATGACGTCGAGTCATATTGGAGATAGATGGGTTGGAGAGTTATTACGCGGTCATCCTACACGTTTCGCGAACATGTTCCATATGACGAAAGTAATATTTCTGGACCTGCTTAATCAACTTCGGACCCTTCATGGATTGCATAGTTCATCAAGAACGACGGCTAGAGAGGTGTTGGCAATTACCTTATACGTTTTATCCCAGAATGAATCCATTAGAGGAGCTGTGAAACAGTTTCAACATTCCTCAGAAACTGTCAGCAGATATTTCTCAGTTATATTGAATGCGCTAGTGAGTCTGGCATATGAAATAGTCAAGCCAGATGATCCATCGTTTCAGTCCATCCACACGCTTATTGCAAATGACCCTTGATACATGTCGTGTTTCAAGGTGATTCCCTAACATAAATTTCGGTTACTATAATGGTACACATGTGACTTTCTTATTGAGTATTTCGTGCAACAGAGGACTGCATAGGAGCTACAGACGGAACACATGTCGATGCACGTCTTTCTGGCATAGAGAATGTTACATAAATCGGACGGTGTGGATCCCCAACACAATGTTATGACAATGTGTGATTTCAACATGTGTTTCACATTCGTAATGGTTAGATGGGAAGGTAGCGCACACAATAGTCGTGTTTTCAATTTTGTCACTAGAAACTGAAGATATGGTTTCCCTTATCTACCACCAACTGTGACAGTCTAGTTTCACTTTTGGGAATATGAGTTTTTTTTAAATTTGCTAACTAACAAAAAAAATAAACAGGAAAATATTATTTGGTCAATATCATATTTGAAGTCATATCCGGATACGAAATATCATATCCCTGATTTTGCAAGATCAAGCGGAGTTGCACGAGGCAAAAAAGAAATATTTAACAAAATATATTCATCCTTGCGTGGTGTCATCGAAAGATCATTCGGGGTCTGGAAGAAAAAATGAGTTATTTTACGTGATATGTCAACTTATTCATTTTTAAAACAGGTTCAGATATTAGAAACCACAATGACACTACACAACTTCATTCGATGGCATCACTCCAGAACGAATGCAGAATTTGCCTTCGTTGAAGAAGATTTACTGCAGATCCCACCTGAGGCATTTGAATACCATGTGGGATGTAACATACCTCAAATCGAAATTGATTCAGTGGAGGCACACACCCCAGATGGTGAAGGTGCTTCAGAGATGACAACTATGAGAGAACAAATAGCAGATGACATAAGTCAATCAATAGAAACGATTGTGACATCTATTGTTTGCTCAAATTATTTGTTTTATTCAAAACTTGATGGTTGTAATATTTTAATCAAATAGGGATACACATTTTTATGACCCTATTAATTTTATGAGTTTTTGATTATATTCCAAATCTGGATTCATTTCTTTCTTAAGCAACCGACAATATTCCTAAGCAACAGACAATATTCCATGTTAATTATTAGGTGATTATGATCCAATATTCATTATTCATTGTTCATTTTTGTTCAGAACCGCAACAGACAGTTTGGATATATGTTTTTAAATGTTTACTTAGTTGTTTGGTTATCGAAACTGGATGGATGGTGTCTTTCTTTGAAGCAGCTTGGATGACCCTTCTTTCAGGGCAACCACTGCCTTCTGTTTTTCGTTTGAGTATGGAAAAGAATTTTTTGGGAGTTATGGGTTTGTTTATGGGTTATGTTCGGAGAAGACTTTGATGGAAAAAGTATTTGTTGGATGGACGGTGCATCCCTTTGAAGCAGCCTGGATGGCCACATGCGGTGCTTCACGTTGGATATGGGTTATGCCATAAGAACTACTATGCCATAAGAACTGCTGCTGTATATGTTCGATTCATATTATGGAATTCTGTAACATTAGGTCGTTCGACCGTCATATATTGGTCTCATTATCTGTTTTTAAAGTTAGACATTTACTGTTATCTGTTTTTAAAGTTAGGCAGGCAAGCATTTGTCTGAGCATCTGGGTTGTAACATGTTGGGTCTCATTATAGTGCATGGCTACTATATATATATGGTTGCTATATATGGGTTTCATTATAGCTACTGCCATAGTAACTAGTACCTTTTACATGGCTATATATGGTTGTTATATCTGGGATGAAATTGCTCTTATGTTAACATCGATGGGATGTTAAAAATGAAGTTTTTAGATGAAATAGGAAGTACTTGCTGCACTTTGACATTTCAATTGTTTAGACGCTCATTATGAGCTGGAGGTTGTATAAATGAATGCTATAAATTATGGGTTGTTGCTTGGACATCACTGTGGTTGTAATCTTAATAGTGAGCTTGAGATATGAATTAGAGACTATTCATTAGTTGTGTTGTATTCATATGAGTTGATATGAGTTTTTTTTGGTGGTAGCTTGAATATAATCTTGTTTTGTAGTTTCAAAGCTTAGTTTTCTTAAATTATATTTTTACTGCAAAAGAGATGGAGCATTTTGGTTCCAGTATCTAGGAAGTTTTTAAGATGGGCAAGCATTTTAGATAGGGTTGCATCACTGTTTGGTTACAACATCTCTCTTGCATTTTGGTATGGTTATCCTATTCTTACAGTTGTGGTTATCCTGTATCTGGGATGACTAACAATTATGGGTTCGAATTACCTGCTGCTTCTACACTTTCTGCAATACAGATGGGGGTTCCTGTTATTTCCTTTTTTATTGAAGCATCCCTTTATATATTTGATTCATTTGTTCTGTTGCATTGGTTGACAGTTGTTGGTTCAATTTTAAGTACATGGAGAAAAGTATTTGAAACATGTTGTTATTAGTTGTTTGTTCGTTTTTTCATGGATTGGAAGAAAGTTACCAGCTGCTAGGGTGCTTAAAATTGAAATTACATGCTTTAAAGTATTTGAAACACGATCTTCTTTCCTTCGAACTACCTGCTGCTTCATTTGGGTGCTTCAAAGTACCTACTGCTTTGCTATGACCTGCTCCTGTGTAAATAGATTTGAAACATGATTTTCATGGCATGGGGAAAAGTATTTGAAACAAGATTTGAAACATGATTTGAAACATGATTTACAGGTGCCCACGGTGGGCACAAAGACTGCACTTTCTTCAGGTGGGTTGACAAGGAGTTTGTTTGTATGATATCCCAGCTGGACACCGCTGCTCAGAATTCGTCAGTATCACAATTTCAGAACACCGCATCTGATTTGAGTGCTTCCATTTCTACGGTATCTCAGTCAGACAGGTTTGCTCAGAGTTCTTGAGTGTCAGAGCCGGCAGCATGGGTCATGATATGTTGCTACATTTTAAAGTCAACATTATAATTCTTTTCATTGTCATTTTAACATGTTATTTTTTCTTTTTTTTTTGTGTTATTATACTTCATATTAGTATTTGAATGTGCATTTTACTTTTGTATATGTAAACGTGCTTGTTTGATGTGATCGGAAATTATTGTGTTATATAAATGTAACTCAATTTTTTTGTATTTTCTTGTCTTAATATTTTATCTTTAAATTTTTAAAATAATAACAAATTCTGCGTGACAGATTATTCATTCAACTAAAAAAATCTGTAAATAAGTTGTTTACAAAACACACAAAGCAAACAGTTAAACAACTTATCCAGAACATGAGCAGAATTGTCATTTATCCAGAATCATCTGTTTTCCAAATGCACAAACCAAACAATCAGCCAGCTTATCCGGATCAGTTGCTCATCAGCAGATTATCAAGATAAGTTGCTTATCAGCAAAAGTTGGATAAGTTCAGCTGCCCCAAACAGACCCTAAAACTGAATACATGAAACGTAATTTTAATAGTAGTAGCTCTAATGAAAGAAATGTAACCATGGGTGATCAAATTATTAAAAAGTGTGAACACTTTAGATACCTCGGTTCTATTGTTCAAAGTGATGGTGATATTGATAGGGATATTAAATAGAAAAGTATCGCTTACACGGTAAAGAAAATTTTATAAGATGGTTGTGAGACCTGCAATGTTATATGTTGTTGAATGTTGGCCTTTAAAAGAGAAGCAAAAAACTAAATTAAGTGTTGCCGAGATGAGAATGATTAGTTGGATGAGTGGCTTTACACTTAGAAACAAAATGTGAAATGAATATATCCGTGATAAGGTTGGTGTAGCTCCAATGATGGACAAAATTAGAGAGAGTCGTCTTAGATGGTTTGGTCACATTAAATGTCGACCATCTGATGATCCGATTAGAAGAGTAGATGTTTTAGATTCGACTTGTGTTAAGAAAGGCAGAGGTAGACCTAGGATGACTTGGGCATATTGTATAAAAATGATCTTAATTTATTAGAACTAAATGAAAATATGACACAAAATAGGACACAATGGAGAAAAAAGATTCCTTTAGTCGACCCCACTGAGTGGGATAAAGGTTTTGTTGTTGTCCATTTTCAAGTTCAATGGTACACGTTAAAATTTATACTAATTATGTCTCTTGCAATTGTTTGGTTCAAGCAACAATTATGATTAAAGAGATTACATAGTGCTAAGGCCATAAGGGGGAGAATTATTATTTATCATACCAATCAGGAATCATAACTAATAAAATATTATGTGACATGGGTTTCGCATGATGATTAATTTGGCTTCTCAAGATTTGTGAGGTTAGTATCTTTGCTCAACACTTAGGGATTTGAACCATCTATTCCCTCTATTTATGTGTTCCCCTTTTCCTTTGGAGAGTTGTAGCAGCTGAAAAAATATTGTGTTCGGAGTCTGAGCCCGAATGACCGGACAACAGACGCGATGCACGGATAGCGTGGTAGGCTTCTCTTTTTTTTTTCTTTTTTTTCCTCTAATGCATCATGCGCGCGATCCATGCATCTCATCTGTTGTTCGGACGGACACTCTGCGTTCGGACTCAAACGCAGTATTTTTTCGTAGCAGCTATAGAAGATTGTCGCTTTATGGTTCAAGCAATGATCTCCAAATCTCTCTTGTTCCTAATATATCCTAATGGTGGCAAGTGTCTTTTCGTATCATGATTACTACAAAAATAAACCCTAGCCCATCGATAAGTTAAATCAGCGTTAATTGTTCAACCCTTTAATCCTACTAAACCTGTAACTTGAATTCTACGGAGAACAGTATCTAACCTTCCATAAATCCAATGGAATTCAGGATTAGCCATACTTCACTTCTTGTCAATCAAACGAGCTCAAATTATCTTAATACCAAACCAGAGAGTTTCAATTCAGTTTCTTAAATTCCACCCTTCATGTAAAGGTAAAATTCAGGCATAAATCTTGCAAATACACCTCAGGCATGAGAGAAATTCAGTAAAGAAACCAGAATTTCCACTAATATGGCAAAAGAATCAACTCCGAACTTATTAGGTATTCATGGACAAGTAGAGGATCGGAAG